CCCCAAAACCCCAAAACCCCAAAACCCCAAAACCCCTTAGTTTCATTTTAGCATTGAAACTGTAATGTCCTGTTGAGAGTACATTCAGAATAATAGAATTAAGGTAAGTGTATCTTTTGCAAGTTCTTTAATATAATAATTCAGACTTATAGAAGTATGATACAATTGCCTTCAACGTGCAGATCTTGGTAAATAGAATCCAGATGCTTTGGATCAGCTATATACGAATTAAACTCAAGTCCTATTAGAATCGAAATTTTAATGAGGGTAACTTACATTTCTTAGTATTTTTCTTAGTATTTTTCTTAGAATTTCTACTTCTTAAAGAACGACGGCTTTTATTCTGAATTGTATTACGAGCTTTGTGGTACCTAAAATTAATAAGATATCAAGAAAAGAAGGCGTGGAAATTTCTAGAAGCAAGAATTATTGAATTGAGAAAATGATATATGCAGAATGTATTCTTTAATATAGCTTAACCGGTGTATCCATAAAATAATATTTTCCTTTTGATTTGCAAAATTCATAATTAGAAATAGAGTTAAATAAAAGAGATTTCAAAGCTAAAATTACTCAAATGCAAGAGCAGTGTTAATGCTTCTCTCTTTATTCATCATCGTTGATCAAGTATGTCTTAATTTAGGCTTGGTTCTGTCTGGTTCCTTGGCATCAATCTGAAAGATAGGTGAGAAAGTCTCATGAGAGATAAAACTTAATTGAGACAAATATAAATTATTGAGAACAACTTCTTACATTCTTGTAACCGATGAACTCAGAACACCCTGTTGATTTAACCTCTTGACTCCCAGAATCATCAACTTGTTTAATATTCCCAATGTCTTTATTTGTCTCCTCTCTTATGGCTCTAACTTTGCCAAGGCCTAAATCTATGCTTAGAGTGAATAAAAACAATCACAAGGCCATAAACATAAGAATAAACCAGGCTTATTACTCTCTACATTTGGTCTTTCTCCACAACAAATTGTGTTTGTATTTCCCATTAATTTATTCTAATTTCATTCTGAGTCTTTATAAGCGGGGTTTTGGGGTTTTGGGGTTTTGGGG